CTCTCTCCCTCCCCCTCTCTCTCTCCCTCTCTCTCTCCGTCTCCCCCTCTCTCTAACAATAGTCGTATAGCCAATAGAGCCTACAGTGGTACATGGATACGCACTACACATAACTGCAAATATTATTATGAGTAGTAGCAGTTCTATTATTATTGTTCTTGTATTCTTATAAGTAACAGCAGTTGCATTATGGTTATCATCATCATCATTGTTATTATTATTGATTACTATAAGTAGTAGCAGTTGTTTTATAATTATCATATTCTTATAAGTAGTAGAGTAGTTGCATTATCATCATCATCATTGTTATTATTATTTATTATTATTAGTAGCAGTTGTATTATCATTATTATCATATTCATAGAGTAGTTGCATTATCATCATTATTAGTATTGTTGTTGTTATTATTATGATAATAATTATAATGATTATTATTATCGTTATTATTATTGTCATTATTATTATCATTATCATCATCATCATTATTATTATCATCATAATTATTTTTATCATCATCATTATTATTATTATTATCATTATCATTATTATCATCACCATCATTATTATTATTGTCATCATGATTATTATCGTTATTATTATTATTATGCTAGTTTTGTTGTTGACGTGTTGTTTGTCTCATTCCCAGTGGAGGAGGAGGAGATGGAGGAAGTGAGGACGTCGGAGCAGGAGTTTGACTTCAAGCTGTTTATCTCTGAGTGAGCAGGGGGAAATAGTGGACGGGGATGTGAAACAGTGTCTCACTGGAGGGGGGTCTTCTTGTCCAGATCTAACAAAATGTCTCTGCATCATCATCATCATCATATTCATATTCATCGTCATTATTATCATCATAATCATATTCACATTCATTATCATCAACATCATCATCATAATCATCATCATCGTCATATTCATAGTTGTCATCGTCATTATCATCTTAATTTTCATCTTCACCATCATCATTATCATTGATTTACAGGAGAAAAATACCGAAGACATAAATATAGTTTTTCGTATTTATTTAATCAGATGTTCTTAGACGTTTGGCATTTTGCCAATTCTAGCTTCTTCAGGAACATGGTATTGCCTTCTTCTCATCATCACCATCATCATCATCATCCTCATCACAATTATTATCATTGTTTGGAAAGTGGAGTCGGAGGGAGAGTCTTGCTTAATTGTCAGACAAAATAATATGAAAATATAAAATGTTTAACATATGTTTAATTGACACAACTCTACGTTTCGCCTCTTGGGCTTCTTCATTCATCATCATCGTCATCATCATCATCATCATCATCACCATCCATCATCACCATCCATCACCATCCATCTCTCATCAACATCATCATCATCATCGTCGTTCATCATCATCAACATCACCCTCCATCTCTCATCAACATCATCATCATCATCATCAATAGCATCATCATCATCGTTCATCATCAATATCATCATCATCACCATCCATCTCTCATCAACATCATCATCATCATCATCATCATCGTCGTCGTTCATCATCATCAATATCATCATCATCACCATCCATCTCTCATCAACATCATCATCATCATCATCAATATTATCATCATCATCATCATCATCGTTCATCATCATCATCAATATCATCATCACCACCATCCATCACCATCCATCTCTCATCAACATCATCACCATCATCATCATCATCGTTCATCATCACCATCATCATCATCATCACCATCATCATCATCATCAACATCATCATCATCATCATCAATATTATCATCATCATCATCGTTCATCATCATCATCAATATCATCATCACCACCATCCATCACTATCCATCTCTCATCAACATCATCACCATCATCATCATCATCACCATCATCATCATCATCATCGTTCATCATCATCATCAATATCATCATCACCACCACCTCCACCTCCGTCTTTTTCTTGGTTTCCCTTTTGCCGTGAAGCCATTGGATGTCATTTTTTAGGCCTTTGAGGCTGGCTGCTGTGGCCCCATTTTCATAACGTGTCCAAACCACCTTCCTTGCTGTCTCTTGGTGTGTATTCCACGCTCAATTTGACGCCCACTCATTGTCTGATGTCTTCATTTCTTTGTCTGTCTCTTCTCGAGATGTTTAAACATATGTGTTATAAGGGCTGTAAAACTTCTACTAAAAGACATTAAACACATTTTAAAGACTTTTAATACCAGAGGGTGGTTGGAAGAAGGTGCTCTGGTGTGGTTTGCTCTTCCTTTCTTATTAAACATCTATATTCCTCATCTTTCTTCCTTCTTTTTTATGTTTGTTACTCTCTTGTAACACCTCTAATATTCTGGCGCTCATATGACCTCATGCAGTTGCAAGCGCAGTAATACCTCTACTAAAACTTTAAATAAAAAACACGTTTTTCTAAGACACTTAATAACAGTGGGTGGTTGGAAGGTGCTCCTGTCTGGTTTGCTCCTTCTTTCCTATAGAACATCTATCGTCCTTATCTGTCTTCTTTCTCTTTTGTGTTTGTTCCTCTCTTTTAGCACCTCTAATCTTCAGCATTTATATCACCTAATTGTGTTGCAAATGCCTTAAAACTCTTACCAAAAAAAACAACCCTCTAATCTTCGAAATTGATATCACTTTTGTTGCAAGTGGCGTAAAACTCTTACTAAAACAAAACATTTAGCAGCGTACCTTTTTTTCACACACAAAACAAAACATGGTTGCGACTGTTCACAGTTTTGCCCACCAAGACGTCGTCAAAACTTACGCCACGCTGCTCTGCGAGTTTCCGGAGAATTCCGACTCGGTGAACCACTGCCTGGTCAAGATGATGCACCGAGTCTCTCACGACCTGGGCTACACCGGGATGTTATTCCAAGCGTCCGTGTTCAAAACCTTCAGCTCGCTGCTGCATGGGCCGTTTGCCAAGATGCCCAGATACAAGGTAGACAGGGGTCGAAATGTTTCTGATTTTTAAAAAAATAAATTTTTCTCCAGATTTCACTTTTTTTTTTTTTAACCACAATTTCTTTTTATAGATCTATTGTCTTTTTTTGTGTGTGTGTACTGTGTTTTAAAAAAAAACCAACAACCAAGAAGTATACATGTACCTTGAAGTTTACCTGGACCTAGAAGTTTACCACGATGGTTCAGTTCAAGAAATGCGTATGTCACATTTTTCTAAAAATATTTTCTTGTCCGAGTGGAAATTTTTTTGTGGCTGCATAAGAATTGTGAAAATACTTATATATATTTAGAGAGAGAGAGAGAGAGAGAGAATTTAAATTTTATATTACTTGCATAAAGATTTTCAGAATAAAAGTAGATTTTTGTTTATGAAAGTGCATTTATTAAACCATTCATTTGAGAACCATGATGGCTGATGTCTGCCGCAGATCTGACACTTGATGATGATGATGATGAAAATAATAATGAAGATCATTTCTATGGCGCCCATTCCCGTGTAAATACAGCTCTGATGATGATGCAGATGATGATGATAATGTTGATGATGATAATGTTGATGATAATGTTGATGATGATCATGATAATGTTGATGATGATGATGTTTCTCTTCAATTCTGATTGAAGGAGCTGTCCAAGTTTGCCTGCTTTGTGGTGCGACAGTTCACGGCCATCGCCCAGGTGAACAAGAAAGTGTTTGTGGACCTCATGTTCTGGAAGACGAGGAACGAAGCTCTGGCCATCACAGGGGATTACGACTTTAACTCCAAAAGGTGGGGAATTTGTTTGGGTTTTTGTTTTTTTAAAGAAGAACAAGAAAGTCGCAGGTAGAATTTTCTGTGCATGTCTATGGTCATTTATATATCTCTGGCCATCACAGGGGATTACGACTTTAACTACAAAAGGTGGGAAATTTGTTTGTTTGTTTTGTTGTTTTTTTTGTTTTTGTTTTGTTTTTAAAGAAGAAAAAGAAAATGAAAGTCGCAGGTAGAATTATCTGTGGTCGTAGAATTGGTCATATGTCTATGTTTTTGAACGAACACTCGTTGAAAACGCTCGTGTCATCTTTCTTGTTTTCACGCATCGATTATTGCAATGCTTTACTAGCTAACTTACCAAATACCTCTCTTCACAAGTTACAACGTTTTCAAAATCATGCTGCTAGGCTTGTACTAAAGAAAAAGAAGAGGGACCACATTACTCCCATGTTAAGAACGTTGCATTGGCTTCCCGTGTCAGCTAGAATGTCATATAAAATTGCAATATTATGTCATAAATGTGTCAATAACAAAGCTCCCTCATATCTTAGTGATCTCATCCAGATTTATGTTCCATCTAGATCACTAAGATCAGGCGACCAGTATCTTTTACGAGTTCCTAGAAAAGGCGGTAAAAAATTAGCCGAAAGATCGTTCGCCCACCTTGCTCCGTCAGTTTGGAACTCTCTTCCCCAACCCTTGAGACATACAACATCTGAGTCTAAATTTTAAAAATCTTTAAAGACACATTTAATGACATCCTTTTTAAGTCAGTAGATTCATGTTCAGTACAATGTTATGTAAATGTCTATGTATCCATTTATGTATTTTGTGAATTGCAGTGTATATATTATTTTATTCTCATTTCGTGACGATGTGTAATCGTGTGCGTGCGATAAGCAAGTAGATGTGTGTGTGTGTGTATACGTGTGTGTATACGTGTGTGTGAGTGTGTGTTTGGCATACATGTGTGCGTGTTATGTATTCGTGAGTGTGTATGCGTGTGTTTGTGTGTGTGTATATGTATATGTGTGTGTGTTTGTGTGTATATGAGTGTGAGTGTGTGTGTGTGTCGCGTGCATGAATATTTTTCTTACATGCATTTATGTAAAGCGCCTAGAGCTGTGTTTACACGGGAGTGGGCGCTATAGAAATGATCTTCATTATCATTATTATTATTATTATTATCTCTGGCCATCAAAGGGGAATACGACTTTAACTCCAAAAGGTGGGAAATTTGATTTTGTTTTTGTTTTTTTGTTTTTTTAAAGAAAAGGAAAATGAAAGTCGCAGGTAGAATTATCTGTGGTCAATTATATTGTGAGGCAGCGTGGTGGAACCAGGCTCTCATCAATTTTTGGGCATGTAGAGTTATTGGTATCATCTTGAAGTTTTTTCACTTGTCTTTATTTGGATGAAAGAAATATCCATTTATTTTAAATACAAGTTGAGATATTTGCGAATGAAAGAGGTGAGGGTCACCTGTTTTCAGAGGTAAAATTAGTGAAAAAAAGGCGGCCAAAGATTAGTTATTCCCTCATTTGATGAGTCCATGGTGACTGAAATTTGCATTTTTTGTGCCTTTAATCGACGTTTTCCCTGAAAAATCCACACAGAAATGAGTTCTTTAATGGGTATGAAAGGTGTTGAGCCAAAAAACAAAAATTTGATAAAAATGCACAAACCTGTGGAAAAATGCAAGTTTCCTCAATTTGATTATTTTGACGAGAACCTGATTCCACCACGCTGCCTCACATATATCCCTGGCCATCACAGGGGATTACGACATTAACTCCAAAAGGTGGGAAATTTGTTGTTTTTTTGGTTTTTTTTAAGAACAAGAAGAAAGTCGCAGGTAGAATTTTCTGTGCATGTCTATGGTCATTTATATATATCTCTGGCCATCACAGGGGAATACGACTTTAACTACAAACGGTGGGAAATTTGTTTGTTTGTTTTGTTGTTTTTCGGTGGGTTTTTTGGTGTTTTTTTTAAAGAAGAAAAAGAAAATGAAAGTCGCAGGTAGAATTATCTGTGGTCAATTATATTGTGAGGCAGCGTGGTGGAACCAGGCTCTCGTCAATTTTTGGGCATGTAGAGTTATTGGTATCATCTTGAAGTTTTTTCACTTGTCTTTCTTTGGATGAAAGAAATATCCATTTATTTTAAATACAAGTTGAGATATTTGAGAATGAAAGAGGTGAGGGTCACCTGTTTTCAGAGGTAAAATTAGTGAAAAAAAGACGGCCAAAGATTAGTTATTCCCTTATTTGAAGAGTCCGTGGTGACTGAAAATTTGCATTTTTTGTGCCTTTAATCGACGTTATTCCTGAAAAATCCACACAGAAATGAGTTCTTTAATGGGCATGAAAGGTGTTGAGCCAAAAAACAAAAATTTGATAAAAATGCACAAACCTGTGGAAAAATGCAAGTTTCCTCAATTTGATTATTTTGACGAGAACCTGATTCCACCACGCTGCCTCTCATATATCCCTGGCCATCACAGGGGATTACGACATTAACTCCAAAAGGTGGGAAATTTGTTTGGGTTTTTTTTTTTTAAAGAAGAACAAGAAGGTCGCAGGTAGAATTTTTGTGCACGTCTATGGTCCTTTATATATCTCCTGCCATCAAAGGGGATTACGACTTTAACTACAAAAGGTGAGGAATTTGTTTGGATTTTTTAAAAAGTAAGAAAAAGAATGTCGCAGGTAGAATTTTCAGTGCATGTCTATGGTCATTTATATAGCTCTGGCCATCACAGGGGACTACGACTTTAACTCCTAAAGGTGGGAAATTTGTTTGGTTTTTTTGTTTGTTTTTTAAGAAAAAGAAAATGAAAGTCGCAGGTAGAATTATCTGTGGTCATTTATATTATATCTCTGGCCATCACAGGGGATTACGACTTTGACTCCTAAAGGTGGGAAATTTGTTTGGTTTTTTTTTTGGTTTTTTTAGAAAAAGAAAATGAAAGTCGAGGGTAGAATTTCTGTGGTCATTTATATTATATCTCTGGCCATCACAGGGGACTACGACTTTAACTACAAAAGGTGGGAAATTTGTTTGGTTTGTTTTTGAAAAAGAAGAAAAAGAAAATGGGCAGTCGTAGGTAGAATTGGTTGCTTTTAAGCACAAGGGGGCTATCCGGAAAAATGCTGTTTTGAGAAAATCGAAGGTAAATTTTTTCCCCTTGTTCAGTTTCTTCAAGAGTCGAGGAGAGATTTCTCTATAACCAGACAAATGTACCCACCAATTAAGCCAAACTTCTCCTGTACAGGGATGTAAATCTTCCGGCTTTTTTCGTTTTTTTTCCGGCCGACTTGCCATTTGGGCCCCATCTTTTAACAAAAGTCTACTATAAACAATACATATTATATATAATATACTAAATATAGATTATTTGTTGTAATACAGGGAAAGAAACAAATATAATTTCGTCTCATTGTATTCTTATTTCGGTCA